GTCGTATAACATGCCAGATATAGTCTGCTGTGCCAGACCACTTACAGATGATTGTAGGTGGGCGATTTTCTCAGTGTCGGAGAGGGATGGCTGGTCATGAACCAGCGCCTTGAATAACCCAACCCACCTCGGCCATTCTGATGCCTTTCCGCTGAAGGTGGGGAGAGTTAGTCTTGGAATACTCTTTGTGAAGGCAGAAAACGCGGTCGCTCCATCTGTGCGCGGCGCCTGCTGGGGGCCTTGCAGTCCTTGTATCCATGACGTCGCGTTTCCCACCTTGCGTGATTCCGATCTTTCAACTGGCTCTTCAAGATGCGCTCCCACTCGACGGACCGCTCTGGTGATCGCTCCTTCACACACTGGTTGCACTTCAAGCTGACGGTTCCTTGTCACAACTTCTTCGGCTCCGAACAGCTCATCCTCAAAATCATTTCTTCTTTCCATTTGGAGGTCATCGCTGAGCTCTTTGCGCAGGTTGGCTTCTAGCTGGGCGGCTTCAGCTTCATCTTCAGCGTCTTGTAGCTGTCTTCTCCTCTGAGCTTCCCTTTCTTGACGCTGTCTCTCCTCTTCTTGCTTCTCCTGAATTCGTCGTCTCTCCTCTTCTTGCTTCTCCTGAAGCCGCTCCTCTTCTTGCTTGCGCTTCAGCTGCTGTAGGCGTAAAGACTTCACCTTTGCAGCGACTTCTGCTTCAACTTGCAAAGCTTTCGAAGCGTCACTTGTGTTGCTTCTTTGGGCGACAGATACATGAGAGCCGGCTTCTGATGGCGCCTCATCTCTGCGCTCAGCGAGGTGCTGAGTGATTTTCTCCCCAATTTCCTCTCTGTCGTGCTCAGCTTTTGCGCAATACGCTTCTGCCTCAGCCCTTTCAGTTTGAGATGTCAGGCAGGCTTCTAAAGCTTCATTTGCTGCGATGACACCTTCCAGGGACGAGTCAATGGTTTCCAACAAACCTACTAGGCGCGACCGACTCCCACGAGCGGCGATGATCGCTTCCGCTCGGTGACACGCCCGTGAGAATGCTGCCAATTTTTGCCCCCGTTTTCGGCGCAGCAGTTTCAAGTTTTCATTGGCTGCTTCCTGACGAGCTTCTTCCTGGACGCTCTCTTCTTGCTCGGCTGCGCCGGGCTGATCTGTACCTTCTGTTTCTGACATGATGCGGGCTCTATCCGGCCCGGAGGACCAGTTAAATGTCGCAGACGCAGCAGCCGGCGCCGACTCGGTGACGTTTGTGCCTGTGCGTCACGAGCGCTCTATGTATAGTGGACTGTATCTTGTTTCTGTGTGACTGGGCTTGGCTACTGGTCCATGGCATTTAGGTGACTGAAACGCAGACCCTCATAACAGGTACAAGGATGAGTAGGGATAGAGGCCACGATGGCGTGACTCGAGGGGAGGTTAAAGAGTCGCGCTGGCGCAACGGGGGTTCGTAGGACAGAGTCCACGATGGCGTGAACAGAGGTGAGGAATAGAGACCGTGATGGCACGATCGGGCGAGGTTGGGGCTGTGCCGGCCTACCTTTAAAAGAGATAAGGATAGAGGCCACGATGGCGTGACACGGGGAAGGTTAAAGAGTCGCGCTGGCGCAACAAGGGCTAGTAAGGACAGAGTACACGATGGCGTGGACGGAGGGGAGGAATAGAGACCGTGATGGCACGATCGGGCGAGGTTTGGGCTGTGCCGACCTACCTTTAAAAGAGATAAGGATAGAGGCCACGATGGCGTGACACGGGGAAAGTTAAAGAGTCGCGCTGGCGCAACAGGGGCTAGTAAGGACAGAGTCCACGATGGCGTGAACAGAGGTGAGGAATAGAGACCGTGATGGCACGATCGGGCGAGGTATAGGGAGGAGGGTAATTCTGCGTTTGAAGTGTAAGTGAAGTGAAGTGTAACTGGAATGTATACTGTGCCGCTATCTTGATTCTCTCACTCCTCGCTCTCGGTGATCACTTCCTTTGTCACACCACTGCACTGATTTCACAGTCTGTATTGCAAAGAGCAAGATCCGGCAAACCAATTACACTGCTTGAAGGCTACGACGAGCGGAACGAACAACCGCCCGGCTCGACGACTGAGGCAGAACAGAGAGTAACTTGAGTATACTGTGCCGCTAACTTGAAGTCTTTTGCTCAATCGCTCCAGGTGACCACTTCCTTGGACACACCACTGCACTTATTCACAGTCTATGTTGCGATGAGCAAAGAGCCGGCAGGAAACCACCACACTGCGTGGAGGCTGAGCCGAGCGGAGCGAACAACCGCACGGCGCGAAGACTGAGAGAGAACAGAGAGAAACTTGAGTATACTGTGCCGCTAACTTGAAGTCTTTTGCTCAATCGCTCCAGGTGACCACTTCCTTGGACACACCACTGCACTGATTCACAGTCTATGTTGCGATGAACAAAGAGCCGGCAGAAAACCACCACACTGCGTGGAGGTTGAGCCGAGCGGAGCGAACAACCTCACGGCGCGAAGACTGGGAGAGAACAGAGAGCGGGAGGTGTTTACAGCAGGTTTAAATATGACTGGCAATGGGGTCACACACAGGGGAGATAGCGAGGGAGCAAAGCAAACGGTATTAGGCAAACTAACTGGACGCGACGAACCGGAGATAAAGAAAGAGATAGGGCGCGACGCAGCGCGCCAGCGGCCGCCGAGACGGACGCAGCGCGCTAAACAAACGTAACCGGGCCCGCCGCGCCGACCACGTTCCCCGTGAACAAAGCTATCGACGGGCGTCGCCGCGAGAGGGGTCAGGTCCGGCACACACAGGTGCGCGCAAAACACCCCCACTGGGGCGGGGGGGGGGGGGGACGGCGCGGCGGCCCGCTCGGCTGACCCACCGGCCGCCCGCCATCCTGCTCGCGAGACGGGCGACAGGACAGTTTTGGCGGTCACAACCTGATTAATTTAGCCCTCTGGGAGGCCGTATGGACCTCCACAGACCTCTACCGTCGGAAAGGTTACAGGCTACAGGCTACAGGCTTATATTCGGATAGACCCCCACCGTCCACTCCACCGTCGGATAGGTGACAAGTGTCCCATGCATACCTCCATCGCGGCCGATGCGGTCCGCTAGTCCAGCATCCGCGGTGCGGTGGCGGCTTTTGGGGCCGCTGGCGCGAGAAGGGGGCCAGTGTGCTGGGACGACGCTCGCTCAGTCCGCCACGCGTGGGAGCTGCCGAGCGGCTGTGACGGCCAACGGAAAATCCACGCACTGCTCGAAACTGAAAAGGAGTTCGGCTGTACTTGGAGAGGGTGATCGTTTTGGAGAAGCTCGAAGAAGGGTAAAAAAGGTCAAATATGTACTGTAGTGCTAAAAGCGCTTACGTAGGAAGCGTTTAAGTTCAGTACCTATGTTGATTTAAGCTAGCGATTTAATATAGTTCCATTAGTTGAGACTCAATCCAGTTGAGTCGGTGGCTGTCGAAATAGTCAATGGATACGACCGTCCTGGTCGAAAACAGAGACACCTAACGTGATTGTCGCTTTTTGTTGAATGCATGCATCCAGTGGGCTCCCACAGGGCCGCTACGGTCTCCATTTGTTTCGATGTCTGACGCGCAAGAACGACCAACCGGTGCCCTGTTCGCACGACAAAAGCAGAGACTCATTGGCTCTGAATTGAATGTCGCCGACTGTTCTCACGACAAACGGAACTATGGAGTGGAACACTACATGCAAATCATTGTCTCCACCATCTACATTTCCTATCGCAGTCCTCAGTGCTATCTCTGAACTCCCTATCGCAGTCTCTAGTGTTAAACTCCCACTCCCCATCGCAGTCTCTACATAGTGTTAACCTCCCACTCCCTATCGCAGTCTCTAGTGTTAACCTTCCACTCCCTATCGCAGTCTCTAGTGTTACCCTCCCACTCCCTATCGCAGTCTCTAGTGTTACCCTCCCACTCCCTATCGCAGTCTCTAGTGATAACCTCCCACTCCCTATCGCAGTCTCTAGTGTTAACCTCCCACTCCCTATCGCAGTCTCTAGTGTTAACCTCCCACTCCCTATCGCAGTCTCTAGTGTTAACCTCCCACTTCCTATCGCAGTCTCTAGTGTTAACCTCCCACTCCCTAGCCCCCTTCCCCGTCACCGCTGCTCTGCAATTGCGCCGGGCCCTCCTGCTCCGTGCACCGCCTCTATCAACCCAGTCGATGCTCAATTGACTCTGACGCATGGCCAGCGGTCACAGCGGCCAGCCGCCGTGTGAATAAGAGCCGGTCCCGGCTAGCCAGACTCGGGCGGCGCAGGAAGTTCCTCCGATCGTGCTCCCGGCAGTCTCGGTACACGGGGGCGGTGACGACATGAATCAGTCCGAGTTTCGACACGGCAGTCACAGAGTCCAGTGCGTGATATCATATTTAGGTCGGCTGAAAGATTGTACGATATTGTTGCACATTTTTCTTAACAATTTACCTCAGGCAAAATATTTTATTCTTAAAACATGGCAGGTACACTTCAGCAAAGGTTAAGGCGCACATAAGCGTCCATTTTCTGCGAAATGGTGTGCGGCTTACGTGATAATTATCAGCATATATTTTTGAATTTCACATCTAGAAGGCGAAAAAGACATATGACAAACGATGGTTCCGGCCGCAGAGCTTTGAGCTACCGCACGATATTGTATTGCTTCACTTTTTGTGAGGTAGCAGCGGCACTTTGCACCCAGCGCGGCGGCGTTGCAGTCCCTCCCCGCCCCCTCATCGACTCGGCAGCGGTCCCACCCTCCGACTTATGACATGTTCATGTGAGGCGGCTTCCACCGACCGCGCTGCCACTGGAAACAGAGCCGGCATAAAACTGGCAGCAGTGTCACCAGGTCATGCCTGCAACATCCGATCTGAAATTTATCATCACGATTTTTAGACAACTCGTGATCGACGAGTGGGGATTTACGCAGAAGTGAAGGGCGGGGCCATACGGGATACTGCAGCGAGATCAAATTGTGACCTTGCTTATTGCTCACTGCAAACAATACTTAAGGGAAAGTGTTGTGTGACTCTACCTCACATTCAGCTGAGCTCCCTCCAGTGAACTGAACTCCAAAGCCACCGATATGAAGGTAAGCCTTTCCTTGCTGATTACAGCCGATTTTGGTGCCACTTCTTAGTGACGATATTCGAAGGCTGGAAATACATGAACTTACTTATCTCATGGCAAAGAAATCGCTAGATAAGTGATACATAGTTGACGTAGTAAACAATTGAATAATCTGACCAATTCCGTTTGACCATAGAATAGGTCAAATACTGAATCATTAAACTGAACCTTCTGTAATCAAAAGCTTCTGGGTTATACGGATATACTACAGAGTGCACCCATTGCCTAATCAAGCAAAATGACCCAACGTTAGTTATGTGTATGTACCGACGTCCTGTGCAGCACCCATATAAGTGCTATGGTTAAAAAAATAGAAATTGTTTACAGGATGTGTTTCGTGAGTGATGAGTCTAACGTACCTATATTTAACCTTATTGCTTAGAAAAAATCTTCAGCTTATCTTTGTTCAGAGGAGCATATAATTTTATGAGATTTCGTCTTTTTTGGCTTGGAGTTCAGTGCTGTTGAAACATATTTTAACCCAGCCTAACATATATATTGGGTACCTTCAAGTCTTCTAGGGATATGATACTATATGAGTTAGGTAAATGCACAAAAAGTAGTGATTTTATTTTGCGCTTTATCTAAGCTAATGCAAAATTTGAAAACATACCGACCCAATGTGAAAAGCTGACTTCAACTGGGCAAAAGGATTGCGACAACTTTTATGTCACAGCTCAGAATCTACAGAATCTAATGTATAAGATATTTAGCTGATAATTAATTAATCTCTTTCCATGTAATACCATTGTTTGCATTTTTTTGCATTTCAAACAACAACATTCACAAAGTAGAACCAAATTATTTCTGATAACTTGAGTGAACGACTATTTGGTGTCAACTCATAACACCTGCGTGCGTTTTTTTTGCAGCTGATTCTCCTCACTTGTCTGGTGGCTGCGGCTGCTGCCTCCGGCGGAGGAATCGGTGGAGCTTTCGGAGGAGGCGCCTTCGGTGCCTCTGGCTTCAGCCGCCTCGGAGGCATCGGCTCAGCTTTCGGAGGCAGCCATTATGGAGGATACGGACGTCGCTTCGGAGGCGGTGGAGCTTTCAGCCAGCTTGGAGGAGTTGGAGGTTTCAGCCGCCTTGGAGGCATTGGTGGAGTTTTCGGAGGAGGATACGGACGTCGCTTCGGAGGCGGTGGAGCTTTCAGCCAGCTTGGAGGAGTTGGAGGTTTCAACCGCCTTGGAGGCATTGGTGGAGTTTTCGGAGGAGGATACGGACGTCGCTTTGGAGGCGGTGGAGCTTTCAGCCAGCTTGGAGGAGTTGGAGGTTTTAACCACCTTGGAGGAGTAGGAGGTTTCAACCGCCTTGGAGGCATTGGTGGAGTTTTCGGAGGAGGATACGGTCGTCGCTTCGGAGGCGGTGGAGCTTTCAGCCAGCTTGGAGGAGTTGGAGGTTTCAACCGCCTTGGAGGCATTGGTGGAGTTTTCGGAGGAGGATACGGACGTCGCTTCGGAGGCGGTGGAGCTTTCAGCCAGCTTGGAGGAGTTGGAGGTTTCAACCGCCTTGGAGGCATTGGTGGAGTTTTCGGAGGAGGATACGGACGTCGCTTTGGAGGCGGTGGAGCTTTCAGCCAGCTTGGAGGAGTTGGAGGCTTCAACCGCCTTGGAGGCATCGGCGGAGTTTTCGGATCAGGTGGCCTGTTCCGTGGTGGGCTGACAGGCAGGCGCGGAGGATATGGCTTGTAATAATTCTAACATCCGGATAACTTGAAAATATTGCCCGTCAATATGTCGACTGCAATTTATTTACAGCCGACTTTGTTGTCGGAACTGTGCGTATGTGTGTGAGTTAAAGCGCCGTGCGCTTGCACTCTATAGTATGCATGTGTCTCTGCTGTTCTTTCAGTGTTAAGTCTTGCAATAAAATTGTTGATTCTGTCGCATGTCATATCTTAACCGGCGCACCCCACCTTAGAACCGACGGGGGGGGGGGGTTGACCGCTCTCCCCCTGAGATCTCGAGAACGAAGAAAGATCTACAATTTTTACACAGGCCATTTTCAGGTCAGGTTAAAGATAACGTCAGAGGGGTCAAAAAGTCAAAATGGCGGCGCTAGAAATGAAGAGTTTTTCTCGAATAACTTTCGAAGTAGCCAAGCTAGGAACTAACTAATGGCACCATCGTGATCAACTCTCGTCAATCTGCATCGAATCGTATATGTGTTGACCTCGAAAGGTCAAGGTCAAATGTTGACCTCATGTCACATGAACTCAAGGTCATAATGTATATTCCCCATCACTTGACCCACACCAGTTCGGAAACAGGCCAGGCTACTCTACGGTACATTACCTGATCTCGCTATATGACTTCCTGGCTAAGAACACAGACAGCTCTTCAAACGCTGCGGCCATCCTGGCGATCGATTTTTCCAAGGCCTTCGACCTGGTTAGCCATGATGTCGTGCTCAGGAAACTACTGGACCAGCAAGTTCGTCCCTCCATCGTGCCTACAGTAGCCAGCTTCCTCAACGAGCGGAAACAGGTCGTTCGACTTGGTGGCTCGAATCCTGTCTCATCAGAGCTCACTACCACGTGTGGAACGCCCCAAGGGACAAAAATCGCCCCGATTGCATTTTTGGCTCATATAAATGACTGCGCAGTTACCGAAGATCATCGATGGAAGTATGTGGACGACCTCAGTATCGGCATCCTGTCTCCTGCAAGAGATGCAAACATTGTCCTTCAGAAAGCCCAGACGGCCGCATCCACTCTGGAAACATGGTCAGAGAACAATCTCATGAAGATCAACGGAAAAAAGTGTCATATACTCATCTGCAACTTCTCTCACAACACGGATATGGACGGCGCAGTAATCATTAACAACGAACCAGTACCTGTCGTCTCTACCATGAAACTTCTCGGAGTCCATATTACTTCTGACCTAAAGTGGACGGCAAATACAAATCATATCACAAAAACGCCTCTCGCAGGCTGTTCATGCTCACAGTCCTCCGTCAGTTCCATGCAGATCTGAGCGATATCCGCGCCGTCTACATCAGCTTCATTCGTCCATGTCTGGAATACTGCTCTCAACTGTGGCACACGGGACTGACACAGCAACAAGCACAAGCAATCGAGCAAGTTCAGAAAAGAGCTTGCAAAATCATGATAGGATACGAAAACTACACCGACTACGCCTCTGCCTGCCAGCTCCTCAACCTCGAGACTCTGAGCGAGCGTCGCGATTCTGTCCTCTGCAAGCTGGCGACCGACATCCTCGCCAACCCCGCCCACCCACTGTACCCGGGCGAGCAGCTGGCAAATGTGAGGCGCCCTCTGCGCCGGCAGCGAAAGTTTGTCGTACCGCGGGCCAAAACTGAGCGGTACAAAAAGTCCACTGTGCCTGTACTCATAGATCTAATGAACAAGATGTGATCCCCACGTAGATATGTTCGGAGCTCTTTTGAAATGCACTGTGTTTTTAATTTTTGTGATGCTTTTCACTTCTTCATGTGGTGCCACCATTGCACAGCTCGCCTCATGTACGGCCTTTTTACCAGTCGTTGACTGTCACGTGGTCAAATAAACCTTTATGTATGTATGTATGTATGTATATCATCAAATGTGCTTTGACGAGCTGAACACAGTAGGACCATCCGCAAGACTGTATCTCGTTCCTGTTACGTGTATTAGCAAACAACCTTTGGTGACCCTTGATGACGTCGCATGACCATACAGCTGCCCAAGAGCAAAAAGGCCTCAAAATAAACAAGGTTGATCGTATCTGAAGTCATGCATGGTATATTGGGCCATTCCGACGCGTTTTAGTAAAAAAAAAAAAAAAAACAGGGCGTCGATTTCCCCCTTGACTTATAATGGGAAAGTCAAGAAATTGACGTGACCTTAGGTCGTAGGCATCAAAATTCCGAGACATACAAATTGTAGCTATCAATGACCTTATTACATTCTGCGACTTGCAAATCCCCCGGTCATCTACTGTAGCTCTGACACGGTGACAAAGTTGAAAAAGTGTTTTGAGGCTGGGTCATTTGAAGTGACCTGGTGACCTGACCTTGAAACGTAAGAGGTTCAAACTTGAACACAATGTGTAAAACTGATAGGAAAAAGTCATGCTAAATTTCGCGGCGCTACGCGTAGTGGTTTTTCCGCTATTTGCGAAGAGCCTCAGGGGGTGAGCGGTTAACCGCCCCCCGTCGGTGCGCGGGTTAACTTCGGGGCCCCACTTCCCACTTCGGCCCCACTTCGGGGCGCGGGTTAACCCGCGCCCCGAAGTGGGGCCGAAACGCCCCCCCCCCCTGTCCTTTTCGTGGGTAGCTCCTAAACGACTGCAGATATCACTACCAAACTTTCAGGACCCCTCCTGACATCAATTTTACAAATTATGACCAACAATTTTCAGAGGCTATGACAGGTTGACCACAAATAACGTCGACGTCATGTTCTGCCATTTTCGACCCAATTAAAGGTTTCGCGAGAAGAACTGTCAGGCCTGCAGCTTTGAAGCTACAAAAAAATGATCGGGCATAAAAGATGTAGAATTAAATGGGCTACAAAACTGGGATCTCGGATTTTTAAAATTTTAGGATTTTGACCCCAATCTTTTTTGGTGTACCTATTAGCCAAAATATCCAAAAAAGTTCTTTGAATTTCCAAAAAACGGAACAGATGTTCTAGTAGCTACCGTCTTCTATCTGCATACCAAATTTCAGACCAATATCTCTTTTTTTTTTGGCCAGCTTATAGCGAACAAACTGTTCAAAATGATGGCCTGAAATTTTCAAACTCATTTTTTTTTTGGCAATTCTAGGTCACGTAGCGCAAAACAAAGACCACATCAGACTCCCCGTGACGAGCTGCATCGAATCGATACCCGTTTCACGCAAAATATCAACTTTGAAATTTGATCTAATTTTTCCTGACCTTGACCTGACCTTCACCAGAACGTAACCTTAGCTGGCCCCAAAGGTTGCCTGACCCACATAATCGCATTTGTCATGTAAAATGGACCATAAAACATGTATCACACGACACTTCCAGTGACCCTCAGTGACCTGACCTCTGTGACCTGACCTGGTATCAGTGACCTTAGATAGCAAAATATATGCTTGACGAACAATTAACCATTGATGATTTTCAATGACTTACCAATTTACTCGAGTTCACAACACATTTCTTGAAATGCCTGTGAACGGTGAAAATGCGACCTTTGACCTGACCTGTGACGTCAACGGTTGGACCGAGTTCAATGAAATTTGGTCACAGGGTAGTTCCCCGGTAGGCTATCGAACGCCGTTTGAATGTTGAAAATCGGCTGATAAATTTCCGAGGACCCCCTGGGGGGTAAATTTCCAAGATTTAGGGGAGGGGGCGAAACGCTCCCCCCTCCCTACGGGTGGTAGGGTCCGCCGATATCCCTACGGGGCGCGGATTAAACTAACGTTCAATGATTCATTATCCTGCTATGAAGGTGACGATGACGTAACGGCAAGTAAAATTCAAGGAGGCGTATAATTTAGCCTTATTTACGTAGAAGAATCGTGAAACTTTCAGTATCAGGATCATTTGCCCATAGCATATGATAGGCATAGCATATGATAGGCACCGAGATCTCATCCAGATGACATTGATGCCCTGGTGCTTGGCCTTAATTGTGTATTACAGTTGACGCTCGCCGTATACCAAACCATCTTGTTATAGAATGGAGCTCGAGCGATTGGGTCCAGCAACGCTGCGTCCGTACCGTGTGTTTCTGGGAAGCGATAGAAATCTGAACTGTGATTTGCATAGCTATGTAAAACCACTTTTCGTAGTCCGATGCCTCACAAACGTACACATTAATGTCAATGTTTATGTCATTAGTAATACATTGCTATGGTATGAAAAAATTCTCAATTGAAGGTATAGGCTGGTTGACTGCAATGGTCATTCTACTTGCAGCCATAACATATTTTATATTTTATATTTTATTATATTACAGATATTTTACATTTCATTTTATAGTAAAACAAGTATGTCATAAGAGGGAACTGACCAGATATGAGGACTATAGCAGAGTCGGGCTAGGTAGAATATGTTTTATTATCAAGACGAGTACCTAAAGAACGGGAAAACTGTACAGGAAAAGAAGCTTTTTAGAAAAGACGTGACGAATCAGTATTGTCACCTAACTATCCGACGAGTCTGGCGTTTTTGTTCGTGAAAAAGAAACCACCAATCATATAATGACGTTTTTACAAAAGTAAGAGAGGCTATCAATGGAAACCGTCCGCGGTCCCCTCCGTATTCGGGTATCTTTAGCTGAGACGTGTGGCAGAGCCTGCTAATGACTGCGGGATTGTCCAGCTCTTTGGACAGGCGCCAGCACTTGTCAGTGTATCTTGTGCGATCATCCCAAACTATCAGACTTATACAAACCACTCTGCTGACCGACTGCCGGCCTTTCTTGGATAGAACCTGTCCGAAACACGAAAAACCACAGACATTGACAAGGAGGCCCGAACACCACCGACGTACGAGAAGTCCAGGATTCAGTGACCTGAATGGAAGACGTGCTGGAGAGGTCATTGATCAGATAACCATTGCTAAAGCAGAACCTATAGATTCCGGCCGTCTGTTACGGCAAGAGTTACACGATTGTTCTTCCTTTATGCATCTAATAAGACATACATGTCTTTGAACGCATTCGACGCGAAATAGTACCGATTTATGTAAATCATTCATTTTCCATCTAATCAAGTTACATATTCAGAGTCGTTCATTGCAATACTTTTGAATTTATCCATTTACAGATACATGCATCGCAAATACGAAATGATGAACCTACAAACTACATCCTATTTTCATTCAATAACTATGGGAAGTTCCTATGTAAACGCATTCTTAGTGTGCCACCTCCCAATGGCTGCAGCTTTGTGCAGCTCTTT